GGGGCAGGGAGCCTGATGCGGGGCTCGATCCCAGGACCCTGGGATCATGACCTGAGCTGAAGGCAGACGCTTAACGACTGAGCCACCCAGGCGCCCCAGTTTAGTAACCTATTTTTAAATGCTCTTCCAATTAATCCAACTTTTCTCAGGGATAATCCCAAGGGCAGGATAATCCTTAGATGTTCCCTCTGTCAGTTCAGCCCCTTAGTCACAATCGCCAAAGCATAAAAATCACCTACAAGAAGTCAAACTGCCCATCATTACCTTTACCCAGGCTGGGATTTCCTTCCCTCCCTGGAACACCAGCTTGCCTGCTTTGCATCCACTTGAGGTTTAAAATAAGGAACACGTTATAATTTTTTTTTTCCAAATTCTCTCTCATATTAAATTTTATGCTCTTAAAGAAATGCAGACTCAGTCTTGAATTTCTCACTGTACTGAGAATCTCCAATCTCTTAGGATTTTACATTGCCTACAGACATTCAACATTTGGGGAAAACTTTTCCATTTTCTATCACCACAATGTGCCCATTCTTCTCTCATGACAGTAATTGCGTGCACTCCTCTCTACTAAACAATTCATCCCAAAGGCTGCAGTTAAAAATCATGCTCACTCACCACTGTGGCTGTTATTTTTTCCCTCTCTAACAGTTTCTCAATTATGCGCAATGTCATTTCATTCTGACTCTTACCACAGTCTATTCTTAGTTCTTTTGTCCTCTCTTTTCCTGCCTATCTACATCAGTCCAGCCAAGCCCCTCTTCATCCTCAGCCACACAGTCCCATGATATCTAGAGCAACCTCTTCCCTTTCATCTCACAACTGCATTTCTGTTAGTCAAACATTTGACTTATTACAATGGTGTTGTAACAGCTTTGTAGGGTGACGGCTGGTGGCTATGCTTGTAATGATCTGGGCATGACATATAGAGAAACTGAATCACTCTGTTGTACACCTGAAACTAAGGTGAACTTGTGTGTCAACTGTACTCTTATTAAAAAGACCAGACCTATTTTAGTGAAGAATGTCATCTCCATTAATTATTCGTTTTCATTTATCTGTGTTCAATATACTTTTTAAACTTTGCATTAGAGAAAAGCAAAAAAAAGAAACAATAAATATTCAAGTATTTACACATGTGATCTGCCCTCCAGAATCTTGCAACAAAAATAACTTCACGTGTAAGATTTCACCCTTCAAAATCAAATATTTATTTTACAACATAAAAGGAAATAATGTTGATCTCATATGATAATCATAAAAATATGTCTAATCATAGAAAAACAGCAAGTCATTTGTTCCAGCTCTTCAAAAATATTTTAATCATGCAAAATCAAGATAATGTACTCTAACATAATGCTAAAATGTTAACCAAGATGAAGTGGCTTTTGTTCATTTTACAGGATACTTGGCAATAGTTTTTGAAAATAATTACTCTAAAGGAACTCTAAATATATTATTTCAGAAACAATATTTTAAAATACAGCAGTAAGCAACAGAAACTATTGTTCTTTACACATTTGTGGCATAACCCTGCCATACAAGTTATAGAATTATAAAATAAGTGTTTCAGAGTACCCTACAGATCCAGAAACTGGTTACAACTCCTACCACACACACATGGTATTGGTACTAACAGACATGCACAGCATCCTGTAATTCATACTGCAGTAGAATACAGAGCACAGAGAAGAACCGGTGGCTGCTGGACAGTGAGAGCTTACGTGGGAAGTAAAACACACAGCTTTTTCAGAATCCTATCCATTTTCCTGAAATACTGAACATACAAAGGACACAGTAGTTTCCAAAGTGAAAATAGTGCCAGGACCCAGTTGGCCATCTATCTTCTTAGGTAATACTAATGAAAGGCCAATAGCTTATTTAGGAAAAGTGAGTCAATGGTCTTTTTATAAAAATGAGGAAAAAAAAAAAAATGCGTATCAAATGATAAGCTAATGCTTTGCTCTCAACTCTTAATTGTAACGCCGCACAATTGATATGCTGTCAACTCTTTTATGGGAGATAGTTACTTCATTTCTAGACAACCTTATTACTGAATTTTATCTCAGCCAGTCCCTCAGTTTAATTTCTGGTTAGTAAAACCACCAACTATTGAAACACACTGGCAAAGAAATTAAACTTAGTATCTGATTATTTGCCTACTTCTATCTACTGAAAGGTTTCAGTCTACTGTGGAGTAGGCAGAAGTCATGGTTCAGATGAGAGTATTAATGGGATTCTGTTTGCACACCAATCCCTAATCTCCTAGGCACAAATAACACAGAGCTAATTCTGAAATCATATCCCCACCATAAAGCTTTTACAGATCATTCCTCATCTGCTCCCAACAATTCTGTCACTTGTACAAACACATCATTGGTTATATCTTTATTTCTGTGGTAAGTTTCTTGTTACTGTTTCTAATCTTTTGTTCCATTTGTGTTTTCCTTTTCCTCACCTGAAACTAAATCTCTTAGCACTGAAAAAAATAATGCCCATTTGACCAATGAGTACAGAACTTGAACATTTCTTAGGACCAAGATTATTATATAACTAATCTCTCTGTAATGTAACTGTAAATTGTTCCATAAACTCTGCTATAATTTAAAAAGTAAACTGTTCCATAAACTCTGCTATAATTTAAAAATGAAAATATGATAAACTTCACAGCTTAAATATATTTTCATAAGGTTTCTGATTTTTTTTTTAACAAGGTCTTTCAGCGTAACAAGTAGGCATCAATGTCTTTTCCCTTTCAGTTCATTTTTAAAATACACTGAGTCATTTTATAAAAACTTTTTAATATTTACCTATGAAAGAACAACTCAAAAGAATTTTTGATTGAAGAACTGGGAGGAGGGGTGGGCGGAAATGGTATTTCAATGTTTCCCAAGATAAAGATTCAGCTACAATTTACATAGCAGGTGTCTAATTGCTCACAATTTCCTAAACAACTACAAAAGGGTAGCAAATTATAACAGATATTTTGTGAAAATTGATACCTATTAAAATTGTGTATGGAGTCCAAGGCAGTCCACCTTCTTCAGAAGTCAGGGATAATGGGGCTCAACACTCTCATGATTCAGAGGAAGCTCTGAGGACCCATCATGCCTTTGGAGAGACTGGAACCCAGTGTCGGCTCCACTTTACCAAGATGCCCGCCCACCTGATTCTTAGTCCCCATTCTCAACTCTACTTCCAGGCATAGTTTGAGCCATAAAACAAAGCACTTAATTGTATCCTCCATATGAAAACTTTAATTCAAGCAACAAACATATTAAGAAGCGATTTCCCCACAAATAACTAAAACAATAATTCTCAACAGATCAGGAAAAAAGCAGATGACAAAAAACATTCTAATCTAGGAAAAAAAAGCAAAAACAGTGCTTTTTAAATGTTTCTAATAAGAAAATTAATTTCAGATTCCTCTGACCATTTACTGGAATTAAACTTTTAAATAAGTCTCTAATAGAATTCCATTTTCTGCATCCATCTGCAGCTAAGAAGAGAGTAAAATACAGATAAATATTGCTTGTAGTAACTGAGAAATATTTAAAATGAAAATCATAGCATGTAGCAAAATCAAGCAAGAGCATAAATAAATGTACCAATGTAGTTAATCTTTCTTACCGTAAACACTTTTTGTCAAATATAACACATTGTTGAACACTGTGGCAAGTACACTTCCTTATGAACTAATGCTATTGTCACAAAGGGAAATTTCTCCAAAATGAAAAAGCACCAAGGTAAATTCATTAAAATAACTGATATTCATGGTTTGGAAAGTTCCTCATGACAAGATTTTACAATGGAGTAAAAATTTAAACTTCTGAATGAAAACCATTTACATTAGTTAAGGCACATCTGGACACCTCCAGGCATTCATATTTATAACTATATTATTATTAACTTCAGTAATAAGGGATTTCTAAAAACACAGCCTGTCCCTGAACACAATCTGCTGGGTGGGCTGGATAACTAGAACAGGGAAGGAGGCAGGCTAGTACTCACTGTCACCCTAGAGATTACCCACACAAATCTGTTCATGTCATAAACACTACAGAATTCAAAGCTGAAAGAAGCCAAAATATGTAACTCCTAATTTTCTAGATCCTACATTGACTCTGACTGACCCATACTATGATGACTACCTGTCATCATTCTCTACAACCATACCTGCATTTGAAATGATTCTAGCAATTCTAACTCCAGCCTACCTTATATTTAACACATATACCCCAAAAGACAAAGGGGAATTCTCTAAGTGGGAAACAAATTAGAAGTCTTCAAAACCATTCCTATAACAAAGGATCCCCACTCAGCCCAAATAGACATGGGAGACCCATAGACGAAACTACATTCAAGTAAGATCAAGAATGTCCCTCTTTGGTTAGGAAATAAAACTTCTAGAAGAACCTCAATTATAGAAAGACAAAAAACCTGGTTGATTTAGTTACTCAATAGAGTATAAACTCAATCATAATTCTATTTTAAACTTGGGAAATTTAACTGTAAACAATTAACCAAATAGTCTCTATCAGTTCAACCAGTTTTTGACCACTTGATATGGAAGTTTACCTACTAAAATGGTTTTTTAAAGAGCAACTCAGATAGAACTTTGCACTGTTTTTCCTTTTTCGCCAGATCATATTTTCACTCAGATTAAAGCATAAAAGCTAGAAGCAAAGTAGGTAATTCTATACAACAAAATATGAAGCATAATGAAAACGATGGTTGTTAAGTGACATTTTCATATACTTGTATTTTTAATACTTCGCAAAAAAAATCTTGGAACTTCTCTAGTAACTCCTGAGTTATACATTTTATTTTCTACTTGAAGCTGAAAAAAAAGTAGTCTCAAAACCAAAATTCAAAATAATTTTTGAACTGAGAATTAGACCTGATTAGAGAAAGCAGACACATTTTCACTTCTATTATGATTCTTTTGAGTTTCTTATGAAATTAAGCATGAAACTGTATAATGATACAATATTCTTAATGTTATAAACGTTTTCTCTACTGTACAGAAATATATCTTATAATTATATATCACTTTACAGTATTTCAAAATACTTTCACATATATTATCTCCTTAGAGATATGAAAGCACAAAATATTAGAAATGTACTAGACTAACCAAGCGATATAACATCTATTTGCCATGAAATGCAATTTAATATTTTATCAATAGCCAATGTTTATATCCTCGCCGTCCAAGGTACAACAATAAAGTCTATATATTTGCAAAGATTCAATAATGTTTCTAGCTATTTGGCCATGCTTCACTGCATTTTTAAAACAGCTTCTCAATAAATTTCTGCAAGCATATGGTAGTTTTTAAAAATACAAAACATCACAGTCAAACCCAGAGGGCTGTTTCATATCTAAGACCCACATAAATACATATCTATAGATCTTAGTTAAAAAACTATTAATTGTACAAAGTATTCTTTATAGAAAAAAAATTCCAGACACTCATAATTTTTATTTGCCGAAGGAATGACATCCCCTCACTTGTTCTCCACTGAAGAATTCTCTCATAAATTACTTGCAGATTAAATAGAGGAATCATACTATTACATCTGAATATGGATCTTAAAAATGACATAGTGGGAAAAGGCCACTGTTTTAAATGGAAGCCAGGCAGTTTTCCCTTGAGACTAAATATTCTCAAATTAATTGGCACAATCTAATCAAAACCCTAATTAGGAATAATATTCTAAAAGTTAAATTGTTGAATGAAATGTTTTTACTTGTAGGGGCTCTGATACACTACAGTTTCCAAGTCATTTCAGATTATATCCATTTATTTTAGTCTCTGTCCACTGTTTTTTAATATTTTAATATCTGGTCACAAATTTTTAACATTATACACTTAGAAAGCAGTCTGACCACTTTATCATGAATTCAAAATTGGTAAGATATTTTGAATTAATCACGTTCCTACAGTTCGGTTCAATGTGACAACCACGCTCACTGTCTAACCCTGGAAAACTGTTTATTAGCTCTATGGGGACATTGCTACAAGCATCACATTAGAGGGTCCATACAAAAAAGAAATTGAAATGCAAAAGCAGAATTGTTTCCCCAAATCTTTATGCTCACTTCACAAAACAATAGAAAGCAAAAAATGGGATATCACGGGAACCAAAAATAAGAAAACGCTCCAAATTAATTGGAGTATGATAAACAACTTGGTTATAATATTCATATTTAAAAAGTCAAGTTTGAGCAACTGTGATGTTTCATGTAAACTTCAAAGCAATAAAGTATTTCTAAAGGCATACCGTTCATATAGTCTCTAGAAATCCTCTGCCGGAAATCCCCTGATCATAAAGGTAACAGAAGATAGTATGATATAACTAACAAATAGAACACAGTAAAAATTCTTGGGGGGTTAAATGAATCTAAAAGCCCAAGAGATACACAAGAGCCAACTCCGCTCCACAAATGAAAGTGAAATTTTTTTCTATTAATTGCTTTAACTATATTTGTATGTATGCTTTGAAGTTCCCACCACAGCGTTTCTGATTATTTTCGGATTTGTAATATTAATTAGTAATAGTAGTACAGGAAATAAAATTACTTGCTCTTAACACCAGTATCAACACATTAAGGGCTTGCTAAACCTAAGGATATGGAATTTTAAATCTATTCTCAATTTCAAGGTTTGACAACTTAAGACACACATCAAATTGTTTTCTTTTTTAAAGATTCTCTGGACTAAGCACTCTTATTAATTTCATAGCCCATGGAACACTGAGATAGTCAAGGATTTAGGGACCACTGCGTTGTTGTCAGTGTAAGAAGCATGCTGTTTAAAAATAGTAATTTCTTTCCTTATTTTTTAATTCTTTAGTCATTTGCATTCAGAAACAAGCACCAAATTTATATAGAACAGCCATAAAAGCAAAATCCTTTTCTTGGACTTTTGCATCAAAATTGGTTCTTAAGCATCTAACATAGAAAAACATTTTTATTATTTAAAAAAAAAAGCAAATTCTTGGTTATCGTACAGTTGAAAGTGCCCCCTCTGTTCCACTTAAATTTCAGTACAGGGGATCACTTGAACGTACTCTAGAAAAGTACATGCTGGCTGACAAAGATGGCAAATGAGGGCAAGTGCGGAGAGACGGAAAGAGGAAAGGACAGTGGGGCCAAGAAATGGGCTGGGAGATGATCGCTCCCCGAGAACACAAATTTCACGCAGAATTTAAAAATAAGCATGTGGAGGTGTTGCAGTGACGAGTCCAAATTACTTTCCGAAAAAGTCTGAAACGACCACATTTGTTTTTCCAGCTTAAGAAATAAATCCATAAATTGGGCAAAAGCATGGCAACAGAATGAAATTTATCCTCTTGCTTTTTATTCGTGTAGACTGGCATCTCCCAAAGAATTTATTTGATATATCAAATACTACATGATTATTTCTAGATACATTGAAAATAATTTAAAAGCAATTACTACGGACAGAATTTGAAAAGTCACACCCTAAAAGCATTACAGAATACATTCCTTTATTGGGTCTTGCTTAAAACTTCTTACTAAAGATTAAATTCATTGTCATCCAAAATGAAAAACCAACAACAAAACGTTGACAACAGAAATCACAAATAGATGGCTAAAATTCGCAATGTGACCTCCGTTCTTCAGGAGACCTTGCAGGGTTCCTCCCCCCCCCTTACCTACGCTGGGGTGTGCGTTCTCGGGTAATTCACTGTCATTGTCCCTCACCGGGGGAACCTGCAGGTCCAGGATCTTCACAGTCTTTGTTAGGAGTTTGACCTTCTTCCTCGTTCTCAGGGGGAGCTGCACTCTCCTTCCTCTCTGTGGGATTGGTGCCTGTTTTTTCCGGGTCAGAATTTTCCGCCTTACCGTCCTCTGTGTTTCCGGGCTTGGTAGCTTCACTGCTGGGCTCGGCGCCTGGCCTGTCTGTCTCCTCTCCAGGCCCTCCAGGTGCTGCCTTTTTTTCTTCCGCCGTTTTGCTATTTAAATGAACAGCTGAGGAGGAATTTTTGGAGTCCTTGGATTTTTTGTGCATATAAGTTTGACTGATATGACCAGAGGCGGGAGGGGCAGGCATTTTCTGGGCTTTGCTTCCTTCTGACTGTTCTTTCCTCGGCGGCCCCCAGATAAAATTCTCTGAAGGCGTGTAATGTTTCTGGGCGAACCGTAGGAGCTTTCTCCTCTCTCTCCTGTCTCTAATCGTATAAACAAAATACTCCAGAGCACTCTGTTTAATATTGGGAATAGTATTTTCCACAAGAGCTTCATGAAGAATAAATTTTACAAGAGGAGATTTAAAACTTTCATATCCAAGCTCACCGAGGCTTTTAAGAATACGAGTGATTCGTAAATAGTTGTGCTGGGACCTGAAAGAGAGGATTGAATAAAATGTTGGGGGGTGTGGAAATCAGGTGAAGGAAAGCAGGGAAAAGAAAAGTACTGGAAAAATATTTTTTAACCAAACAATGACTTTACTGAAAGTCGTATTAGACACCATGGGAAGAATAAATCAGACGTTATTAAAACCTTATACTTCAATGTAATGCCAATCTATGTGAAATTCAAATATATAAATTCCCCTTGTTGCTTTAGTTCTGCATATTTGAAAAATATCTAGATCTAAACTTGATTCCCACTGATGTTGAATTGTTGTTTATTAAGTATACACTGAGGATGTGATCTCCTGGAGCATTTATTTGCAACAACACCAACTGTATGGTGCCCACCACAGGTAACCGGTACCAAACATAAATGCAACATTAGGCGTCAGCTGAAGGTATGATTCACAGTGTCAGCAAAATCCACCATTTTAGCCAACTTACAAGGAAAGCAGCAAAAACCACTCTACCTTGCTAGAACAAGCTGACAAAGGATGCAAAACTGACTTCTACAGCAGAACATAGTTAGGAGCATGGGCTTTGGAGTCACACCTGAGTTCGCACCATGGCTTTACCACCCACAGCTATGTGAAGATACGGTATCTCTCTCTGACTGAGTATCCTCATCTGTAAAATAGGGGAAATGGCCCATCTTACTGGACTGTTAGAAGAATCAAAATGAGTTGAGACATATGCAGGGCATGTAGAACTCAAAAAATACTAGATACTATTGAAAATTCACATTGTTATTGTTATTATTTAAATATGGTACTAAGGGCCACCTCTATGTACCTCTCCCAACTTAATCACCTAATTGTCTTCCATCTGTGGCCTCTCTCCTTTTTCCCCAATCGGAGTATTTTAAATTTTGCTTCTAATGGCATGGACTCCAAAGACGCCTTTTCCCCCAAATTGCACAAACTTCTTCTCTGTCCCCAGACTAAGGCCTTTATCAGATGAAGGCTTTCCAAGCCTCCATCTCTCACAATTCATAGTATCTCTGCCCTACAACACCGGGCTCTAGTTGCCTTATTACAAATACCTGGCTGCATCCGCAAGGCTTCTTCAGCTGCACGTATTAATCATGGATCATCAACAGCCCAGGTATTTGTTTACCCTATACTGATACACAACCGTAACCACCACTTATTTCTAACTTCCTAAAACCTGTTTTATACACCGGACATTGAACTTTATACAAGCAATGCATACACCTGCTTTGGTTTCATTTACGAAGAGCTAGCAAATTATTCGGGAAAAGTGAAGAAGGATGCTGAATTACCTGAGGGACAGAAGGGGATGGTTCCACAGTCTTACATTTTAATAGGAAAGCTTATCTGGACAAAACAAAAACCTTTATGATTCAGGCTAGCCAAATCTTGGAAAAGACAAGTCTAGCAGTTTCATCATCCCTGTTCTTCTGGATGTTTACCACAAAAGTATTATCCTCATATTTGACTCTTTGAGGCCAAAGGCTAAAACATAGCGGGTATGTTTGTGTCTTATGAATCTGTATTTTTTAACAGTTAGGAAGTAAGAGTCTTCTAAGACAACATGAATTTGAATGAGGTTAAGACCATGTGCCATTAGCAGCAGAGCTGACTTAGTGTTAGGTTAGTATGGAGTTTCTCTTCTCCAAAAACTTAGTGATAAAATCCTTGAGCAACATCTGCTTCATAAATCTGAGAAGATGTATGGAAAAGTGGGGGGAATATTTTTCTTTAAAAATCCCAAAGATAAGTTACCTGATCCAACAAAATTTACTCTATTGCAACCAGCTCAACTGCACGTGTCCAGTCTTAGATGAATGGCCAAGATGAAAGTTCTGTACACATGTATCTGTATCTATATACTCTCCGATTTAAAATACTTATGTAACAGTAGAAAAGGACAAACACTTGGGTTGAAGAGAATGAAAATGAGGATTATGGAACAGAAGTATACAAGAGAGAAATTGAGTGCTTCAGTATGATTTGAAATAAATATGACAAATAAAGATAAAATGGAAGAGAAGAGAACAGCTAAAACCCTCCTAATGTTATGAGCGGTCTTTGGGGTTGCACAGCAGATAAAAGAGAAGCTGGGCTTCCCGACAGAAGTAAGGGTGGTAAATAGGACCGCAGGTGTCGGGAAGACCAGGTAGGTGAAGAGAGAACACAAGGCAAGAACCAGGAGGTAGAAAATAAAAGTGAGAAGCAATTCCAGAGTCTAAAGTATGGCTCCATAATCTAAGGTGATTACAAATAAAACTGGAAATACATCTGAGTGGTTGGTCTATATATTTGTACTCCCGTGTTTGAAAATATTTCACTTTTTTTAGTCATGGTCACTTGTTCACTGAACGTTACTTCATTTCACTTTCATTCAATACTTTTTTGTCTGCTGGGCTACTATAAATATATTGAGTTTCCTGCCTACTCTAAGAAACTCAAGATGTCACACAGATTAAAACACAAATAAAAGCTCTGTGCAATACCCAGGGAAAGGAAAACGAGAGACAGTGGGCGGTAGAAAGAAAAGGATCTGAATGGGGCGAGGGAATGTGATGGTTAATTCAGGCTCCCTACCCCTGACCCAAGCCAGGAGATCATTTTAATTAAAACTTTCAGAAGGGTTCTGTTTCCAGCTATCAGTTAGAGGATCTGAAAATAAAACCCCAGGGAGAATTTAAACTGGCAAACGTCTTTTGTTCATTGTTTGTTCATTCAACAAACATTTACTAAATAAGATTGCTATTCCAAGAAGTTGGGGACGGTGATTCTCTAAAATGATAGTCATGCTGCCGTCCTTCATGTCAGTAGGCTACTTGCATATAGCTTTCGTTGACAGTATGTCAGAAATGCTTAGAAACTCTGTCCAGAGACAGCTACCCACATTGCTTAGGCAGAGGTATATATGCTTCTGTTGTAAGTGCCCTATATAAATCAAATTTAACTTGAGTTATGAGTTAATGGGTCTTCTAGTCAGGATCATAAAGCTTTATGCCCATATCTTCAGTGTTTTAGTATAAGCTACCATTTTAATAGTGTTGACTGTGACTAATAAAGCAAAAAGAAGGCTTAAACATTAATACTTATACTCATTTTAGGAAAGCAAGATGAAAGTTCTAGAAAAATACCAAAAAATTCAGTTAACTGATGCTCAAAACTGTTGGGCAAAGAAAAATTTCTTAGGTTACTTTTTTTTCTTGGTACTTGCCCAGCTCAGCTAATCATAATGTGCTAAAAAAAAAAAAATGCTTTAAAGTTGTTGGTTTTATGGTCCAGCATTCATAAGTCACCCTATAATTAAAAAGAAAAAAAATCAGTTTGCATACAAAGAAAACAATAAGAAAAATAAACTTTGGCTATAAGTATTAATGAAAGTTATAAATATCCAGGCAAAAGAATACAGCAAATCAATTCCAAATAAACCATGTTAAATTTTCTTCACAGGTTTTAGGATTTAGTAAGCAAAAGTAGGCTTTTGTTTTTTACCTAAATAATGAAAATTCTAATTTTCCCTCTTTTTTAGAAACATACAGGCACATCTCAGTCTTATAAAATGATTTTTATATGTCTTAGGCCTAATTTATGGATTTAATCTAACAAGGTACCATGCTTGACGAACAGACTGTGCTGAAAGAAGCTCACAACCTAGCAGAGGGGATGTGGAAAACTATACAAGAAATAAGTATAAATGCCAAGAACCATGGTATAAAGAGGGAGAGAGGCCACACTTGGCCTGGGCAGTAGACAGGTTTCAGGAAGAAACAGCTCTGAAGAGGAATGGCTTTATTCCTACCTGCAATTTCATTCTTGTTGTTTTGTTGTGCTTTAGAACATAGAACAAGGAATAAAATGCATTTCAGACTAGCTTTTGAATTCAAATTCCTGGGTCCATCTACCAGTTGTTCCTATGTTCCATAGAGAATTCCAACCCAGAAAAAATAACATGCTGGCCCCTGATGCACTGCAGGGGCTTTACTTACTCATTCAGATGCTGAAACCTTTCCTGCCAGTTAACGGCCCGAGCAACATTTCCAGTTTTATCAACCAGTTTTATTCCAAAAAATTCTAACATCATCTTATAGGCCAGGAGGAATCTTTTAATTGCTTCTTTTGTTTTTTTGAATTCCTAAGGGGGCGAAAAAGTCAGCTGAAATGATTCGGTAGTTACTAGGACAATAAAATAGCAATACTATCTGGCCATCTCCTATAAAATGAAATGAGCTTGCATTACCTCAATTTCATATGTAGTTAATTCTTTAGCATAAAAGTTCAAGCCTTGTTCTCTCAGGGGGAAAAGCCTATTTTTTAGAAAAATAAATATTAATGTTATCTGGAAAACATACATGATTAAATAGACACGGTTCAAGATACAGAAATGTTAACTGACCATTGAATATAAGTGTGGTTGTGCTCCAGCTTTTCATAATCTCCTTTCCACTTATTTAGAACTTCTTCAATGTAAACACCTAAGTAGTAAATATTTAGAAAATGAGCCAGACATTTAAGACATTGTTGAAGGCACTTTCACATTTAACCACTTAATCTTTATACTAAAACCTCTGACATTTAGTAATAGCACACAAAAATTATGCCAAGATGAATACCCTATGCCATATGCTCAGTTATGTAATAGGCCTAATTTTTCAAAACTCAATGGCACCTCAAGTCACAGAAAGTTCTACCAGACAGGGTTACTCTAAAGCAGTTGACAAACTATGCCATTTGTTTTAGAAATAAAGTTTTATTGGAACACAGCCATGCACATTGCAACAGAGACTACATGGCCCACACAGCTGAAAATATTTACTATCTGGCCCTGGACAGAAAAAGTTTGCCAACCCCTGCCCTAGATGGTCCTAAGTTCTTTATTTTATTTATTTATTTTTTTAGTTCTTTAAATACAAGATGGGATCAAAATGAAATGTAGCCCAGGGAAAAAGAAAGGAATAAAAGAAAGGTGAGAGAACAGAAAGAGAGGGAGAAAAGCATGAAAAAGGAGAAGGAAAGAGAGGAAGGAAAAACAGAAGAAAAAGGACCCATTTACACACAGTACACATCGTCCAGCTTAATCTTCACACAACGCTCCCAAGCCAGTGCTACCATCCCCATTTTACTAATGAGGACATTGTATGATTTATTCAAAGTCACACACTAACAAAAGAATAAATCTAGGAGTAGAATATAGGTCTTTCTGGGCGCCTGGGTGGCTCAGTTGGTTAAGCGACTGCCTTCAGCTCAGGTCGTGATCCTGGAGTCCCGGGATCGAGTCCCGCATCGGGCTCCCTGCTCGGCAGGGAGTCTGCTTCTCCCTCTGACCCTCCCCCCTCTCATGCTCTCTGTCTCTCAAATAAATAAAAAATAAAATCTTTAAAAAAAAAAAAAAGAATATAGGTCTTTCTGGTTCCAAAAACTAAGCCCTCTTTACCACATCCTACTGTTTCCCCATAAGAACTTATTACAGCTGACCCTTGAACAACATTGAGTTTGAACTTTTTTGGTAAGAATACAGTACATAATGCCTATCACATACAAAATATGTGTTAATCAACTATTTATGCCACTGGTAAAGCTTCCAGTCAACAGGAGGCTATTAGCAGTTAAGTTTTGGGGCAGTCAAAAGTTACACATGGATTTCTGACTACACAGGGGTTAGGGCCCGTTACCCCTACACCGTTCAAGGGCCAATTGTAGAACAAAACCGTCCTGCTTCTCTAATTCTGTCTAGGTCCCCACATTTGACCATGTGGCCGTTTAGTCAATTTTACAGGAAAAAAAACACAGCATATTTCTCTAAACATAATTGATCTCATTCTTGTTTCCACCACAGATCACCAGTTTGTAGTAGAAGTCTACTCTTGGAAGGTTGAGTAAAAAGTTGTTTTTGAATCATCCTGTTGGCCCTATCAGCATTTTAAAACCATTTACCCCATGATTTCCCTTCCCACTACCCCTCCTCCTGCTTAATAATTAAAATACATCATTGCAGGCTTATGCTTATTGGCAAGTGTTTGTGTGTGTGGAGGGGGGAAGGATATGTGCACGTGTACACATACTGGGGAGGGAATTGGGTAAGTTTATGTAATTTATATAATAAACTAGAATAACATTTTATGTGACCTTAGATAAAACTCCTGACCCCTACCAACCCTATAAGATTTCAAAATAAATTTTGTGGTAAAGATTACAAAAAATTAATGCAGTGCTTGAAGTTATTACTTTAAATTACTGCCTCAAAAATAAATTCACTACTAGAAATAGAAAAATAATTCAGTTAAATACTGTCATGTTCAATGTTTTTAATATTTAAAGGCATTCCTTTAGGTAAATTTTATTAAATTCAAGTCAGAGTCAAATTAATCTATCATCGCATTTCTTCAAAAGGTTTTCTTGTCCCAGGTCCTAAAAAAAAACCCTAATAATTTAATTAATATTATTTCAATTAGTAAATAAAGTGGTGTGTTTCTATCATTAGTAAATACAACAGAGCATTTTTATCCAGACGCTTCCTCCTAAATCAGAGCAGATTTTGGGGACACAATCTGGCCATTGCAACAATGTTCTTAAGTCCAAACTCCCAACTGTCACATCTCTCAGTACACAGTAGAGGAATTCCTCCTCCCAGCACTCCACCCAGCCTTCAGACAGCCTTCACCCAGTTAGTTCACCAAAGAATGTAGTCCTGCTACTTGGAAAGCTTTGCAATCTATGACCCTCATTCCCTGACTCACATGGCTGTGGATATGGCTCAGTTTCCACTAAGAACAAAGAGCAGAAGCCAGGGCCATCTGGTCACCTCACAGAGATAAGGGCAAGAAGGAGAGACGCCAACTTGGCTGGTTTGACCTGGATAAAATTAGGATGCCCATCATGAACCACAGCATGGTGCCTCAGTGAAATATGCATATTACCATAGTGGATGCATCCTCTCCCTATAGGGGGAGAATCTTAGAAAAGATCCTATGAGGGCAGTTTTGTACAGTTGTGAAGGAGGAGGCAGTTTATTTGGCAGAGTTGAATGGAGATCTACTGTCTCTGGAGTTCCCTTCCCAGGATATTGGAACACTGAACTGGGACTGCTGGAGCTCCCTGACCCCTGATTCTGAAAATCAACAGGAAAGATAATTCTAATATAAACATTACTTTTCAATTATGTTCTAAATAATTTGGGGGTATGGTGTGGTGAAAAGAATACTAAACTCTGGATCCTAGACCCAACTCTACAGTCGAGTGATCAGACAAGTCAGTCGTTCAAGCTTTAAAACCCAGTAACCTCATCTTTAAAATGAGGAAGATTAATTTGATTTCCTCTAAAGTTTCTTAGTAATCTAATATCTATGATTCTGTAAATTTATAAATCTTATCTCTTTGCCTCTCACAGAAGTGGCCCCCACTTTCTTTAATATAATAGCCACCATGAACAAGTGGTGGGAAGGTATTGCTAATTCACAGTTACTCCTCCAGAAATTGCCAAGTGGATGTTCACAACTCTAGAGTCTAGGACTTTGGGGACACATTAGACTACAGACCAAAGTAAAGCCAGTCAATGAACAAATGCATTAAAAAGGTACTGACCACAGAATATACAAAGAACAACTAGGTATATGTTATTATTTAAAGTTTGCTTTTTACCAGGATAGCAGATTACTCACCATCTGGCTTAAATGGAATTTTATTCTTATAAAAACGAAGATTGCTCAAGTCATTTTGATATCGGATATCTTTGAAGTTCTGCTAAAGAAAAAAAATTAGTCAATCTCCAGCATATGGACATACAAAAAAGGCACAGGACTCTTCTTGCATGTTTGCTTACTAGCACCACAAAATAAGAAAAACAGAAGGAAAATATTTTACATTTTAGAAAAAACATTCTATACTCTTACTGGGTACTGATGTCGATATTTGTACAGATCCCTCGCAGCATAAAAGCTTCTCTTTGGTTTGGCAGTTGCTTCAGTGGCATCACCACCCTAAAATAAAAAGTGAAATTCCATTTACATGGTGAAGGAAGATAATCTGAGAAATTTCTAGAACACTTAAAATAATGAACATCCGTAAGAAAAGCCTGAAAGGTAATAAGCTGTTCAGAATAATGACAATATTAGAATTTTTTTTTTAATTCCTCAACTTTTTATTAAGGAGAGTTTATAACTTACTCCACAGCAGGCATAGTATTATAGTAAGCCCTGAGTACTCACCACTCAGTCCCAACAACCACGAGGCCATGGTTAACCTTGTTCCATCCAGAGCTCTAGAAACTTTCTTTTAATGATGCCTACTAGCAACATTTTTTGGCATTCTATTTGCCTGATTTGAACCCAATAACATTTGTCCTAAGGTATTTTACTGAATAAAAAAACTTTATTATTCACCAAGAACCTATAGAGGCCAAATGTTCTAGATCAATATTCATCAGATATAGAACTCAAAATGAATTTAAGACATTTACTTTACCAGAGGTCACACAAGAGATTCTATGACAAAATTTATTTTAGAATACATAATACTAAAAAATTGTTAAGATAATAAATCAATTCTACAAAGAAAATTGTCATTAACTTTGCAACATTTAGCTGTACTTAGAAGGAAAATAAAACTTATGAAATGATTTGCAGCGACGTGAATAGAACTGGAGGGTATTATGCTGAGTGAAATAAGTCAATCAGAGAAAGACATGTATCATATGATCTCACTGATATGAGGAATTCTTAATCTCAGGAAACAAACTGAGGTTTGCTGGAGTGGTGGGGGGGGGGAGGAAGGGGGGCCCGGGGTAATAGACATTGCGGAGGGTATGTGCTATGGTGAGCGCTGTGAATTGTGTAAGACTGTTGAATCACAGACCTGTACCTCTGAAACAAATAATACATTATATGTTAAAAAAAAAAAAAAGATAGCAGGAGGGGAAGAATGAAGGGGGGGAATCGGAGCGGGCGACAAACCATGAGAGACGATGGACTCTGAAAAACAAACTGAGGGTTCTAGAGTGGAGGGGGGTGGAGGGATGGGTTAGCCTGGTGATGGGTATTAAAGAGGGCACGTACTGAACGGAGCACTGGGTGTTATACGCAAACAATGAATCACGGAACACTACATCAAAAACTAATGATGTAATGTATGGTAATTAACATAACATAATAAAAAAAAAGAAAAGGGGATTTTTAAAACAAACTAAATAGCTTTCTAAACTCCATCCTTCATAGCACCATAACAAGTACACACAGGCATGAATAATCTGTGAATCCAGTGATAACACAAGGTGACATAAATCAGCAAATTTAAGACATATATACACAAAGTAGTAAAAGCTCTCAAATGAACTTCAGATTGTAGTAACTTATATGTGGTAGTTTATTCATACTATTTAAATTCTAAAAATTCTCACCACCATGAATAATTTTTAAAATGTAAGATATGGGTCAATGTAATCAGTTTCAATTCTCTAACTATACGTACTATTAGAATGTATAAGGAAATGCTTTGTGTCCCGCGTCATGCAGAAGGACAATAAGTCAGATGACAATGAGGAAAGAGAAGACATAGTTTAGGTCTGCATGTTCATTAAGAGCTTCACTCCCCTCCCAATCCCTTTCTCATCATCCTCCACCCCCATCTGTGTTGACAGATTAGCATCCTCCAAGCAGTTTTCGCACATTTTTGAAGTGGTGTGATTCTCACTATTACTACAAGTATAGAGATACTTACTTTAACACCAAATTCTCTGATGTTTAACATTAGCTACTCTGTCATGTTATATAAGCAAGGAAAAGCTTAAATTCTGGTCCTTGCCACACGTTTCAAAATAGCTCTGCCTAGCAAGTTTCTGAATCTATTTAGCCTGAGCTACAACCATATGAATCATCATCCTACATTTGTATAGAAAGCACTTTTCCATTTACAAAGCACTTACATGTATATTATTTCATTTGATTCTTATGACACACACCTGGATGGCAGTTATTAGTGTTTCCAGCTTAGAAACAAGGTAACCCAGGCTTAGAGAAGTTGAACAAGGCCCCAGAGCTCAGTGAGAGCACAGGAACTGGAATCCCAGGCTTGGGGCTACAAGTCCAACTAATTAGGCATGAATCCATTTCAGCTCCACTAAAAGTGAAGGAGCATGATAGGAACCTTGGTAAAATGTCAACAGCCCAAGCCCTGGGTTGTCTTAACTCTGCTACTTATTTGTGAGGCCTTAAGCCAACCACTTAACTGAATCTTAGTTTTATCTTCTGTGAAACAAAGATAATGACTCATGCCCCTACCTATTTCCCAGATTATCATGAGAATGACTGCATCCTCCAACCTCTAAATGTACCAACCTGCAAGCATCTGACCTTGTTCCTCCAATTTCTGCTCCTTTTGGATTCCCTATCCTGTGCCTTTCACCTGCTCAGCCAAGGATTTTTTCCTTAATATATTGTTCCTATTTCCTGCATCATCAAAATTTCTCTCTTCTGGATCATTCCCCTCAGCAGACAAACATGCTGTAGTATCACTAATCTTTTTTTTTTTTTTTTAAGATTTTATTTATTTATTTGAGAGAGAGAGAGAATGAGAGACAGAGAGCATGAGAGGGAGGAGGGTCAGAGGGAGAAGCAGACTCCCTGCCAAGCAGGGAGCCCGATGCAGGACTCGATCCCGGGACTCCAGGATCATGACCTGAGCCGAAGGCAGTTGCTTAACCAACTGAGCCACCCAGGCGCCCGTAGTATCACTAATCTTAATACAAACATACACAACGTTCCTTGACCAAATCCCCCCTCAAATACAGATCCATAGCTCTGCTCCCTATTATAGGAAAATATCGCCAAAGAATTGTGCATACACCCCGTCTTCTCCTCCTCTTCTCCGATGACCCACCACAATGAGGCTTTCATCCTCAGCATTCCATCTAAATGGCTCTTTCAACATCACTAAGAAATCTCCATTTTCACCAAACCATGTCTCAGTGCTCAACTCAGGCAACTTCCCAGCAGCACTGGCCAGTTAAATGTTGTCTCCCTCCTTCCTGAAACACTGTCAGGTGCCACACCTCTCCTGGTTTCTTCCGATCTCATTGGCTGCCCCTTGTCAGCCTTCTCTTTGGCTCCTCCTCCCCTTCATATGTTCTAAATTGAGGAGTGCCCAGGATTTAGTTCTTATTCCTCATCACTCCTTAATGACCACATATCTCCCAGGACTTTGTACACCACCATTCTTAGAAGCTGATGATTGCAGTCCTGGACTAAGGCTCCATCCATAGATATGTTAGGAATTCCACTTAGATGTCTAATAGGTTATAAAATTCAAGAGAATTCTTGATTTAAGCTCTGATGATGCTTTTTCCCCGGACTTGCCCATCAAGTAAGATGGCACCATCATTTGTCAAATATTCACTTGAACTAGGAATGAAGGCAATGAAGGATGTGAGAAGTAGTCATGACTGGGATATATTCTAAAGGTAGCTCTAGCAGTACTTGCAAATGACTATGGGGAGAGGCAACAAATGGAGTTGAGAGTCAAAAAGCAACATTAAAAAGGAGATTTTTTTAAGGAAGTGAAATGGTGACACTAAGAAAAATATATCATTAAAGGGGAAAAGGGAGGGCTGCTGTGGTCTACCATTTTCTGGGGTCACAATTAACAGACTGAAACATTAATTATCAAATTGTTTTATACAGATGGACCTAGTTAGCTGGATTGAATCTAAGCTGGTGTTTTTTGATATCCCAAACTTCTCTGAGAAGCTCTTAATTGGGAGACAAGATAAAGGGAAACTGGCATACAGCCTCTAATACTTTGGCAGGGGTGGGGGGGGTGGGGGGGATGGTTGTTGAATTCACAATGCAAAATGACCCATCAGCAAACCAGAACACAAGGGGCAGAGAGAGTCACAATTCCAACAGGTTAAAGGTTCTACATTGGTTACAGACATACTTGGGTTTGCATCATTCATTCTCTCCCTGGATGTTCTTGGGCAAGCTTCTCAAACTCTCTAAGCCTCAGTTTCGTCTAAAATGGGGATGAAAAACAGCAACTCCCCCCAACCCCCGAAATTGCAGGTGACTGAAATAACATGTTTAGCATAGAGCCTGCACTAGGACTTTGCTTTCTCCTGACCTACACAGAGATGATCATCCAAATTTATGAGGCAGCCTTAGCTGTAATATTTAGGTGGTGACTCCTCTACTCCAGCCAAGCACCCTGTGGTCATATTTGACTTCGGGCTCCGTTTTTTGTTTTTGTTTTTGTTTTTTTCCCTCACTCTCATTCTTCCCCAGCTGATAAAGAGGAGGGCCCAATGCAGAACCCCAAACCTTAAATACCTCCAGGATGCGCACTTCTTTTAGAGGGCTGGTTATACAGTTCCTCCTTTTTAGTTTTCTGAATTATTTTCGGTCCGTCAGAGGTTAAAAGGGATATTTATCTCTTTACTAACCTCTCCTCCAAATTGTATTAGGCAAATGATTTAAGCACAGTTGGATCAACAAGTCTCTGGGTGATACAAGAGTTTTGAAGAGTGCCCTGAACTCCTCAGTTGAAAGGCCTTAGTTAGGGTAAGAATTGTGGCATTTCAACTTCTGTTGGGGACCTTCCGCAATACTTTTAATGGCTGTAGACCCTACTGTAGGGGAGAGTGCTCGCAGCTCCTTAGTTGCAGTCCCTCCTTATTCTGGGTAATTTTTACCAGTAACACGCACTAGAGCAGTTTTCAACAATCCTCTATTTTTAGACAGGTTCCTCCCACCCCACCTTCGCAGCACCCAGCTGCGCTGCAGAGGCAAAGAAAATACCCATTCAAGTTGGGTTCTGCCTTGAGGGACTTCCTCGTCGTGCCCGCGGTCAGGCCCCAGGCCGGCAGGGGACGGCTCCGGCGCTCCCGGCCACGCCAGGCCCCCCGGGTCCGCGGGGCGGCGGGACGGCCGCGAGTGCCCAGGGGTCCGGCCGCAGAGCACCAGCAGCCGCTGGCTTCCCGGCCCCCTGTGCGCGGGGATCGCTCGGCGTTTGCTCCTGTCCCCGGCGACGTCCTTCCTCAAGGGGCAGGGGCGCCCTGGCCCAGCCCGAGGCCACCGCGCGGCCGCGTACCTGCTCGGCGCCCGCCGCCTCGGCGTCTTCGTCCGGTGCGGTGCCGGCGCGGGGCCGCCCGCCGACTCGCTCCGGGGGCTGCGCGGGCTGCTCGGGCTCCTGCCCCGGGCCCTCGCCGCCGCCGCCCGGCCCCGGCTCCTCGGGCTCGGGCTCCGAGTCCGTCTGCCAGGTGGAGTCGCAGTCCTCCACGGTGGTGGGCTCGCGGAAGCTGACCCCGCCGAGCAGGTTGCCCATTGAAGAGGCGGCGGCGGGCGCGGGGCTACGGGGCTGCGGGACGGGGCGCTTGGCGCGGGCTGCGGCAGGCACCCTAGGGCCCGGGCATGGCCTCGGGAAGGCGCTGGGCGGCAGCCTCGGCCCGCCCGCCGCCGCACTGCCTCAGCGCGGCGAGCGGCAGACAGGCACACTCGCGGGGAGGAGCCGGCGGCCCCGGGACCGCCGCCGCCAACGCTTGAACCCGCCCATCTGGTTCCTTCTCCTCCCCACCCGCGGGAGCCGGTGCCGGCCCGGAGCCCCGGGGAGCGAACTGCCTCCGCTCCCCGCACCCGCGGCCTCAGGGACACACCTCACTGCCCCCTTTCCACCCCGGAAGGCCTGCCTTCGCTGGGCCTTTGACGTCTCCTGGGGAGGATCGGGGTCTGCAGTTCACCCGCCCTTCTCCAACCCTACCCGGGGCAGGACCGCCAGTCCCTCTCCACCCCTACCCGGGGCAGGACCGCCAGTCCCTCTCCACCCCTACCCGGGGCAGGACCACCAGCTTGGGGCTCCTCCCAGCTGAGCGGGAAGAGTGGTCCCGCCCAGCTCTGGGAGCCGCGGGCTGGGGTGGACGTGATTTCGAAGGCGGTGTCACAGTCTGCGGGCGAGTCCTGTCCACACCTCCTCCTCCTCCTCTCCCGGCTGGTCCGGGAGAAAGATAAATTAGCCACAGCAGAAGACAAAAGCTAATGGTGACGGCACCACATAAACAGAAAATCCCAGCTACCACGACTGTATGTATGTATTTAGGGCAGCCACCTAGAGTCCCCATGGACGAGATGGAGTCAAAGCTATCTGTCACCTCATCTGATGAGCGAATATCTCTTGAAACAAAAGGAGCAATAACAGCTAGGCTTCCCCATTGATCTGAGGATTGTTTTACTATCACCCACTCCAAATCCATGCTCTGAGTAGACTAAAACCTCAGAATCGTAGGCCTCTTGGTCTGTTCTGGAATTGAAAGGAGGAGGGAAAACGTGTTATAGAAATACTTAAAGATAAAATAGCGTGATCAAATAAGTAGCCCAGAGCAAAGTGGCCATTGTAAACTTTGTGTTATGGCCTTTTAACTGGAAGGAAAGCCTCCTGAAAGCAATCATGTCTGTATATATGCCAGAACTTGGTAGGTACTCCGCACACATTTGTTGAATGTGAACTGAGAAAACAGGTTAGATATATCTTATAAATTGGTGTACTTGAAAATGTAGTTTCTTTTTAAATATTGCATGATAAAATAGGAGACTGAGTCAAGGCCACTGGTCTATTTCTAGGGGAAGAATCAGGAGAACAGGGTACCCATTCTACAGATGAATCAAGACTGCCTCTCTTCAAGCTCGCTGCAGGAGACCCCAGCTGTGGCTCTGTCCCTAATCAGTTTCTGACCTTGGACAGGTCACATAGTGACTTTAGACCTAAATTTCATCTATAAAACACAACCAAATTTTATCTCTGGGGTCCTTTGTAGCTCTGACCCTCTGGGGTCCGAGACTGGGAAAAGCTCTAAAACTAATACATAATAGACGCCAGACACACAGAACAACTTTTTTCATCATAATGGCTCAGTGAAGAAAAAATGGAGCAACAGTAGAACACACGAATCCAACTGCTCATATCTGGGGATTTGGATTCATCTTCCATTGGCAGAGAACCAGGACACATTGCAGAAGTAAATGCTGTCTGTCCAGCCATAAGCATTCCAGACAGAGGGAGTCTAAGGATAGTTGCTATGCCCAGGTGCTCCATCAGTTGGTCTAGTTGTATGTAGATTAGAGTTGGCCTCATATTCTTTGCTTTCCTCCCATCAAGAGATAGAGTCTAATTCCTCACCCCTTAAATTGGGACTGACCTCAGTGACTTGCTTTGGAAACTAGGATATGGAGGATTTTCAAAAATACAATATCTTAAATGTTCAAGGTTAAGCTACAGTGAAACTTGCGTCTTCTACTGAGTTGTCTTGGAACATACTTTCTGGTAGCCCTGAGCTGCCATATAAGATTAACTCTTATGAGACTGCCATGCTGGAAAGGCCACTGTGTATGTCTTCAGGTCACCAGTCCCAGCTGAGCCCTGCCTTCCAGCATCCCCTGTTGAATCCTGCTGACTTTTATTGGCTCCTCCAGACCGGACCATCCACCAACTGAATACCTCTCAGTGACCTCCATTGATGCCATGTAGAACAAGGGAACCACTCAGCAGAACCCTGCTCAAATTCCTGACCCTCAAAACAGTGAAATATAATAAAATGACTGATGTTTTAAGTCATTAAATTTTGCAGCAGTTTGTTATACAGCAGTAGATGATGGCACAGTGAAAAGTGTCTGCATAAGCCTATATATGTTTATGTATATAACTGCTACAATTAAATCCTTACCTTTGAACTAGCTTTTGGCCAATATATCAGATTTTTATAGGGCTATAGATTTTGTGCCAAGCGTGCAATACATTTTCTAAAGAACATAATTTTACATGAGGTATTATAAAACCTTAAGTAATAATTTTGAAAGTTTACAGCATAATTGATCATGTTGTATCCAATCTGTGTATTTAAGAAAATTCTGGAGATCTGTCGTCTCTTGGTTCTGTACACAGGAATTACCCTACCCAAAAACCTAAACTTTTTCAATTTCTTAACTCTTAAGAGTATTTAACACTCCTGCACTGACACTAAAGAAGTGTGTCTTTGCTTCATGTAAAAACTTCAACACTTAGCCAGTGCCAGGCAGATATTAATTTATCAATATCTGTTAGCTCTAATAACTATTTATCTAATATATCTACAAAGAGGATTGAATTTAACAATATAAATAATAATATTTAATAATATAATAATATTGGGGCGCCTGGTGGCTCAGTCGTTAAGCATCTGCCTTCGGCTCAGGTCATGATCCCAGGGTCCTGGGATCGAGCCCCGCATAGGGCTCCCTGCTCTGCCGGGAGCCTGCTTCTCCCTCTCCCACTCCCTCTGCTTGTGTTCCCTCTCTCTCTGTGTCTCTCTCTGTCAAATAAATAAATAAAATCTTTAAAAAATAATAATAATATAATAATATTTAATAATATAAATGTATATGGAACAAAGAGAAACTACTATGACAATGCCTATTTTAAAGTATAACTCCTAACTCCCTGTATCCAGAACCTACTCTAAGCTATACAGATACCGTAGCCATGCTCCAGTGTAACTGTCTTCAAACTTGTCATGGTTTCAGCTATGTCCTTGAAGGGTGAGGTCTTTTGAAGGAGGAACTGGGGCTTTTGGAATGAAACTTTTAAAAATAGAACCCAAGACATATGTGACATATCTTAAAGTGTTTTTTTATAATGAATTGTGTTTTAGGGATGTTAAGAAAAAAGGTTTATTGCTATATAATTTCCTTTGAGAGCCTTTCAAATAAAAGGCCATGTTATCCAACCTCAGGAATTAACTTCTCAGGAGTTCCCAGGAACGTAAGACCTACGGAGAAAAAAAATAGTGTTATAAAAAAAAATTACCCTCTTTTATCAAAAGCAATTCTATTTCCATTATTTTTGATAGGAGTGTTTGTTGTTTTATTATTTTGTAGTAAAGTAAAATTGTAGGGAGTAAATAACTGACATCCTCAACAGACTTGAGAAGTTGGAGCCATCCTAGCCACATATGTGAGGTGTCTTCTGCAGCCTTTTTCTGACTGCTGGACTATTGTCCAATACCCTGAAGCAACAACATATTGTATTTCATGGAGCCTAGGAAGGAATCAACTCTAAGATGCATCCTACTTCAGAGATATTTAAATGTGAAAACTGTACATTGTACAATCCATGCAATATGGTGGTTTGCCAAGAGAGAAGTTTAACATTTTTAAAGGACTAATTTATTCCTAAGAAGTAGTTTACACTTCAAAGACCAGCTCTAGATTCATTTCCAACTCTGAGTATTTTCATAGCTTAGAGTCCTTTGTACTAATCACACTAACTTATTAATAAAGAAAAGGAAAAGTTCATAGAATTTATGAGTATTGAATTAGTATATAATAAGATATCAGTGGAGATAAGTTGAAATTAATATAAGAATTTGGTAATAAACCATCATTTGCATAACTAAGCAAATAAATTCAGCCTATAGACTAAAAATAGAGCCATGTTTAAATTGAAAAAATAATAACCTTTGTTCAATAATAACATTTGTTTGGAGTCTTTATTTGGATAATTCAGCAGCATTTAGATCCATATTTTGGGGTTTGTATTTAATTTAAGATGCTATGCTAAAAAGAGAACCAGAAAATATCTTTTCTAGCCACATTTAAAAAAAACAAAACATTCTAATTTTCAAAAGGAAATTGATATAAACAGTATGTAATACAGGAATTTTCACCTCAATCAAAAAAGAAAAGAAGAAATTTTACCTATTGCCTCCAAACCTATTGTTTCTTTTCCATGAATATAAGTAGGTATGTATCCCCAAATCCCCTTTTTCCAATTACTATTAAATATTTGCTATTATTTTATATAATTTGTGTTCTTGGCCCTTTAAATTTATCTGACTGCTTCAAAGTATGACAGTAACTGAATATGAAATGGATATGTAAACACATTGTGGATTTTCGGCCAGCTCAGAGGGTGCTTGTTATTAAATATATAGTCAAGGAATATGGGACTCTCATGGGTTCCTCCAGGCTTCCTCAGAGTTCCTGCCCTTCTCTTCTACAGTTACTTTTAATCTTGTGAAAAGACTCCCAGAGGCACGTTGTAGGAGTGGCTCTCCTCCAGGCTACTCAGGGCACAGGTGCCCCTAAGAGGACACAGGAGAAGGAGCAGACGTGCTGTCACTGAGTCCTGGGATGCTGAGAGACCCAAAGGCAAGCATTGGGCACTTTATTCAAGGGCTTGATGACTGCCTCAATATACCAGAGGAGCCAAGTTATGTTCCTGCCCAAAGATGAGGGTAGGCTGCTTAAGCCCTAACCAACCCCAGACTCTGGTCTAGCCTTCTATGAGATGGGCAAGCTGTGTGGAGCAGGGGGGTAGGGTGTTAAAGAATAATTCTTCATAGATGTCAGCAACTCCATCAGGAAAAAACTGATGCATGGTGCATGTGGCAAGGGGAGGTACAATCCATCCAGATGGCTGTCTCTTCA